ATGAAAATAATGTCGATTTTAAACGTTTTAAAAATCCTGGTAAAGGTGTGAGGACCATATCCGTAACTGCCTGTGTTAAATTTGCTGTAGCTACACCGAGTGTCATCTTTTTCTGATCAATCTTTTCTGATGCAGATTCTAACGGTTTATTAATTAACTTAAAATTATGATCAAATGCAATGATACCAATAATTTCCATAGCTAAACTGCTATAATCCTTTATGATGTTACGATTAATTTTCTCAGACTCACTCCGTCCGTATATCTTTTTCCATACGTTCAAATTTTTATCTGTCTGTTCAATAATATTGTTCATATAAGGAACAATACGATACTTTCGTAGCAGTGGCAATATAATTCGACTAATTCGTTTATGATCTAAACCACGTTGTATGATAACGGCTGTGGGAAACAGAAGTTCAAATTGTTCTTCGGTTGCTCGTGTATTCTCGTAATTTTTACGATTTGTCGATAGTATATATTCAGCATCTTCAGGACGACAAAAAACTGTGTAAGACCATGCACCTAACCACATCTGGCATAGATCACCAAATTTTTCTTGTTGGTTACGAAACGCATCCCATAACGAGAGACCTTTCAACAGACCAACCTTTCGTATACTTCCGATTAGAAATTCGGGTTCATAACCGGGTATTGTGACATGCAATTTTGTATAATAACGTCGTTTAAAATAGAAATAAGTTAGGAGAAGAATAAGTAGACATTGTAACAGTATTATGTAGAAAGACATGTGCGTATAACGTTTAGCAACAAAAGTTATGTAATTACGAATATTTCTGTTGTTGCAATGTTGATGTCAGACGGGGAGAAAGTCGTGTGTTAGTTGTTTTTCATTATTATTCTCGGCATATATAACTTTTTTTTATTCACTCAGAATATTTTCAGTGTTTTTCGATCAAACAGAAAGAAAAACACAAAATATTATTACTATTCTTTTTCTTCTTTTTTTTCTTCTTGTACATATGAGAAAAAATAGACCTTTGGTGATGTAAATATGTACGATCACAGAATAAGGAGCCGTCCGGACGAAGTTACGAAAACTATTGGTTTTACCGTCAAAAAAGCTTTTTTGATCGAACACAGAAGTGAGAAATGCATGAAAGGTTAACCCTTAAGAGCCGAATGTCCCTTCCAAGGGACATTTGAATAAATGCAGTACAAATCCTAAGAAGACTTTTGAAACAGAAGTGGATATTTTTCTGAGCTGAGATGATCTTGGTGGTCATACTGACATCAAAATAAAACCTTCAAGCGGTTGCCAGACGAATCAATTGATTTTTTACAGCTGATAATGATTTTGAAATAATTTTTCTTTTTTAGATTTTCATTTATTCAGAAATGGAACGTATAGTCTCGTCCTTTCTCTGTAGCATCCTTCGACATAGCGTCAAGCTATCTGATGGATGTATTTCATTATTTTTTTAACCGATCTAGTGACAGATTACGCCAATGTAAAGGAAATGCTT